GGGATAATTGATTTTTCTCTGCTTCTGCTTTTCAAACCATGGGTGAAAAAGCTTATAAATGCATTATTTCCAACTAGCCTTATCAGTAAACAGTATCACCGCGCTCGCATGTTTTAATTTTGTTATAAGTACATAGCAGAATTAACACGCACACACGTTTTGAACTTGAAAGTAACGATAAGAAACATTACACGGTAGTAACAACAACTCATTTGACATTTGCGTTCTTTTCATTGGTTGCTTCTTAAATATAAAATTGTATAACTGTCGAGTGCTGACCATACGCAATTTTTTTCGTGCTGACCTTTAACTTTCCAACATTTTTTATACGCATACAATTGTATTTTCCGTGTAATATGCACTGGATATGTCTTAATACCCGTGATACCTGTTGGTAAAGCTTCTGCATTAGTTTTGCTGTACAAGATTCCCACCGAGCCATTCATTCTGTTTCATCCGCAAGGTCAATACGAGACTGTGGACACCTATAATGCTCTCCTGCTTTATGCTGTCATGCGAGGGCGTTCGCAGGGTGATACGACAGTTTGGACCTATATTTTATTGGCAACATTCTTCTTAAAACGCTCGTTTCCAGTTTTCCTAGACAGGTCGGGTTCCAGATTGTAGGAAATTACTCCCTAATTTTCTACATTTTGGTATGAAGGAAAAAGGTGGAAGTAGCTTGAGAATACGCAATACAAGCGTAAAAAGCTTAAGCCAATGCATACGCCTAGTAGAGTCCGCAATGCTCTAACTCTGACATATTCGCGACGCATGTGGTGTACACGGAATTAATGGAGTGCGTATGCACGGTATCTCTAATTAAATGAAACGAGTATGAAATGCTGTATTTGACTTTAACGCGGTTTTCCTGTGTGTAGCATGAACAAACATATGGCAACCTATCGTGATATTGCACTTTTATCAGATGGTAAAGAGATTTTTACAGGAATGCACTATACCCGTGCGTCTCAGTGTGCGGGTGCTCGAAGGGGTATTGATCGCAGACGTAACTAGTTGTAAACTGCGAATAACAACTTCCAATTATGCCGAGACAGAGCAGATGCACATACAGTACAGCAATCAAGTCAGTACGTACTGGGAACGTTTATTATACGAGTATTATGGTAAAGTGAAAGCACATCATTCTCTTACTGGTAGTGATGAACATTCATCCCTTCCAGAATCCGTGCTTGAATAATTCGATCGATCGATCGCATGCGAAGCTGTGAACTACTAAATGCTGTATTGCACAGGGAGCGCATTCAGAAAAGTGCTCTAGTCCCACACTCTTACATTGACGTTAACGCATAAGGATAGTGACTAGTGCGTGAGGACGTTGATTCGGGAGAAGTTTCCTAAAGCGGTGATCTACTTTCTCCGGTTTTCTCGGGCCGAGAAGAGCAGAGAAAGTAAATCACCACTTTCCTGAAGTTGCGTACCAGTCTAGCGGAACAAAATTGAAATGCGGCCCCTGTTTTAGGCCCTTTGCAGAACAAAAGGTTAGCTTGATGATCGGGAAGATTTCGTATGTCTTTCTTACGAGTGTAACTACCAAAGTCTGAATGTCCAATTCATGCAGATGCACGGAACGACCTACATGGGAAAGTGTTAGTCTTCTCTATTTAATGAAAACTCTGTCTTGTGCGTTAGTGCGTACCTGTATTACGGACGACAGCAGGCCCTGAATCTGCCGCCAGCCAATTCCATCGCCTTCTGTCGTCCGTAATAGTCGCCACGATAGCTTTCCAAGGAGCTGAGCGGCGCAAATCAATTCCAATTTAACCACTTGAAGGTATGTTTCTCATTCACCCAACACCACCTGAAAGTCTTTATGGGTTTTATGTGACTGGTGACATCAACGGGTCTGTCATACTATAGTAGTGGTTGGATTCCGGTCTGGGCAGGTCTTTTATGTTTGTTATACACGTACCGTTATACCGTCAACGAGTGACGATGACATTCAAAAATCAAAAAACATATGATGCACAAACCTTACACACCAAAAGGAAGAAATCCGCGTCGACTTCGACGTTATCACAGATTAACAATTTGGAGAGTAAATCTGAAAACCCCGCACGATCTGCACTGGGTAATTTGTAACAGAAAACCCGAAGACGTGAGCAAACCATTACTTTATTGGAATAATTTATCCCGGATAAATAAGGTACAACACAAAGACAAAAGCAAAGATATACACTGTGTCGTGAGAGAAAAACAAGCAGAGACGTTGCTGCAGTGCTAGCTCGAGCGTTAATGAGAAGTGCCGATCGGCACCGTCGCTGCAGAGCCAGCATGACACGAGCGTTCTCGTAGGCAGCTGGGTTCTAACCTAAGAAAAGCTGGTGAACGCTGAGAGGCCGCGAATAAGCAGGGTCATATAAACCAAACGCGAGTTAAAGAGACTGGAAAGAGAATTTCGCCCAAACCGGCGAGATTCGTAGCTTTAAATATTTTAAGAAATCGCACCCAGACAATTGGCAGCGTGACATTTCGCCGCCATCAACTTCGATGCGCGAACCGCGACTTTTCGCCGCGAAGACGTTTTGCCGGAACTTTCATACGCTGGGACAGACAGTTTAGGACATTTGCCTTGAGAAATAATTTCACTTTGCGATATTTTGACGCAGGTCGTCTGACAGCGGACACTTCGCCGCTAAGGAATTCAACACGCTTATTTTTAACGAGTGTTCCGGTTTCCTGTTTCCTGTAAGGTTTCCTTAGCTTTCTTAGGTTTCTTAGGTTTTTTAGGTTGCTTAGATTTTTAAGGTTACTTAGGTTTGTTATGATAAGTAAGTACAGTAATTATTGGGTTTCTTGGGTTCTTAGGTTTCATAGGATACACAGTTTCTTGGTAAGTTCGGTTTTTTCTTTCTTATTTACTTTACATTACTGAATATTGTCGTAAATGAGCTTGACAGTTTTAATATCCTAAAAAGATTTTTCTGCTAAAATAAAGGCCTAAACTGCCTCGGGGCGAGATTTCTGGGCGTCGGTCGAAACGGCCGGGCGACGAAATGTCTCGCAGCGGGACGTCTTGCTGAATTTACTGTGGACGCCGCAAATGTGGGTCGGCCAAGTTTACCTTTGTCTTTTCTTTGCCTTTGCCTTTCCACTTTGCCTTTTTCAACATTGCCATTACCTTTGCCTTTGCCGCCGCGAAAACTTCACCGTCCTAATTGACCTTCTCCAAAAGCCGTTTCAAATAACCTTTGCCGTCGGCTTTAACCGTTGCATAACAAAATGCCGTCAAGCACTTTACCATTTTCGGAATTTTTAGCGCTGTTGTATCTTCTGCGTGAACGTTTACAAAATTATTGCTTTCAGTTCATTATTACTGCGGCAATAAATTACAACACAGCAAACATTTTTGATTTTCATTTTGTCGTATCAGTTTCTCATAGCAGAATAATAGAATTACATATAAAACGGATACTAGCTGGTGCATTGTCCTGGTTACTCGCAACTTCGCAGTCATGCGGAACTGTGACCTGTGTTACTGAGATGGTGACGATTGCGAAAACATTTACGCTCAAAAAATGTTGAAACAGCATTGCCGGCACGGCTGACTGATTCAGAAATTATCTGTGCCGATTGTTGGTCATATTGCCGTTATTTAGTTTTTGTACTCTTGATGCGACCGTCATTAACATGCCGACACATAGTGATGATAGTTCTATCATATCTGACGACGACAATGGTCCTACTGCTAAAGCTACCAATTCCGACTGCCTAGTTCGTCAATGTTTTGACATCAATGTTACATGTTTTGATACGTTTGTAGAAGGTCCAGTTTGGGCACGAGAATATAAAGAGGAGCCTTTTCGGATCACGAAACTGCCACCTAACGCTAATACTAATATCAAATGCGCTGGGTGCCGTCAGCTGCTGGTGAAGTCACCTCCGCACCTCGGCCTTGTGGTTAAACGAAATGAGAAAGATTACAAACAAGGTACGACTGATGCGACAGAAAAGCACATCCGTCATTATCATATGCAAGTATCGTGCATCGGCAAGCGACATAAAGGGTTTAATCCTGTCAGTGGATTCAGTGTTATGTTTGACGGAAAATGGTTTGCGGACGCCGCGGACAACGAAAAAGAATACGCAAAAATGTTTCGCGACGGTCTCCTTTTTTAAAACTCAATTCACTGCTTTGGGAATGGTAGTTTTAGAACACAGTTTTGTTTCAGGATTTTTAATTATAAACTGAAGCGCAAATTTTAAAGCTGTGAAGTAATGGTTTCCACTTGTAATTTTTGAACTACCTGATGATGGCAAATTTACCCGGAATAAGGCCCTGTAAATTCTTACGTGCATGTTAACGGTGTTAATGCCCATGTAAATACTGAAATGCGCAATTAGTGGTTGTAATGGCGGACTTATCTTGAATCAATTTTTTATGCTATAAGCTACCTCAGAATTTTGTTTACGATGTTCAAGTCTGATATCGTTTAATAATAAACTGCAGAAGTGTCAATAAAGCCCAGAAACGGTAAAGTGTTTGACTATAGTCGATCATGAAACGGTTATAACCGACGGTAAAGGTTATTTCAAATGGCATTTTGGGAAGGCTTATTATGACGGTAAGGTGTTCTCGGCGGCAAAGGCAAAGGTAAAGGTAATGTTGAAAAAGGCAAAGTGAAACGGCAAAGGCAAAGAAAAGGCAAAGGTAAACTTGGCCGACCCGCAAATGTGGTTACACCGATAGCTGAATGCACGCATAGCGCTATCGGCTATCGGTGACATTCGGTGCAACCACATTTATGGCGTCCATTGTATGTCCCTCGTCGAAACATCGCACGGCGAGATGACCTTGCGGCGAAATGTCTGCGACCAGAAGTCCTGCGAATAGCTTTTATCGGCGCGCGGTGCCGAAGCAAAAAACCTCTACTGCAATACACCAAAGAAATGCTTTTTTAACGGTATTGTCGAATGTTTACTTTAACTTGAGTATGTCTTGACACTTTCATCGCGTCATCGAATAGAATTCCATTACGGTTAAATCAGCAATGTATGTTATGGTGTAATAGTATGGAAGGTCAACCAGACGAAGAAATGTCAGTACAAGAAACTGCAGCAAAAAGTCTCGATATGACGGTATGGATGCAACATTGGCGGTTTTTCAAAATACAATCCCAAAATACACTTAGCGCTCGTTTCCAGTTGATTGACGATTCTCGCCCGGATGGCGCCCAGTGGCGGTTGGGAGCCGTGCGACTCAGGTGCGACGGGAAGTCGTCGTAGGCCCATAGAAACTAGTGCTTATCCCGGCACTTTTTAAACAGCACGCGTTCGCAAACTGTACTGTTTGTTAACTAGGCAGATACATGAAAATTTATAAAAAACTATCCTCTACAAACGAGGAAAAAATGTGTGATAAAATGCTTACAGTATTCTTAAACCAAGCGGTAGCTCTATGGCCACGGTATTACTCTACCGCCTTAAATTTTAGCACGCGACCAGAAACACAGCGCATGCGTAGTTCTCCTGTTGGCGCACTGTAAAATCCCTGTTTGTTAGTGATGTCAAAATGACACACTGCCAGTCTGCAGTCCAGGCGAGAATCACGAATTGTAGTTACCGTTGGCTGTTAAGTTTCTTAAAATCTTTCGAAAGCAAACGACATACGTATTGCAGCTTCTCGATTATTAACTGCTTGCCACGTTTGCGATCGGCAATCCATTGGTGCACGTCCGACGGATCCAAATTAGAGTCCTTGAGGATCAGATTATTGTCCACGATGTCCCACAGTTCCGCTTCTGTATCATCCGTCGGTTGTGCTGAGAAACGGTAATGCAGAACCGGCGCCTCGAGACTGCTATCCGAGATACGGCAGTGTTGCAGGGCGATTCTGTCGTACGCCCTCGCAAACTGCACACCCAAATATGCCACTAAAGTGATGGTTCCACCGATGCTGTAGCAGTCATTGTCGGCAGAATTGGCATCTTTTCTCTGGAAATCGCAGTGGTGCATGACCAGCAGCGGTACACGATGGGTGTTAAAGACGGGAATGCTCAGTGTCCCTAATGCACCACACTCTTTCAGATTCAGGTCGGTGACAGTCACCATCTTCGTGCGACTGTTTATGCATTTCAGCAAGCCAGAAATCACCCAGAACATTGCCTCGATGGAGAACGGCAGGTGTTCCCCACGGCCTTCCACGTGCACATCAGGGAAGCTGGCTTCAGTGAGGATGCTGTTCCATGCTTGACTCACACGCCGATAGCGGACTCGCTCGATGGAGTCAAGCGATCGGAAGACCTCCTCCAGCAACTCGGGGGGCAACGGCAAACATGGTCGATGACCAGTTTCAGCTTCCCGTTCGTTTATATGTGTGCTAACGGCCCAGCGGGGTCCCATCCACGGAGATGACGTTAATGTTGTACAGCCGCTTTCATCCTCTTTGCTCGCCTTATTGTATGCTCCCTCCTGCAGAAAGCGACCTTTACAGTAATTTTGCAATAATAATCTCGTTCGCTCATTAATCGTTAACTCAGCGGGTTCTGCATTCAGATTTCATTATACGTGCCTGAAACTAATGTTAACAGTACTGCCAGCAGAGACACGTAATAAAATTCCCGTGTTCATATATACGAGAATTTCGGGTTAGGTGATAATAGGCTTACCATGTCCTCAGCCGTTAAAGAGTCGTCGTCTCGATCCTGCAGGTAGAGAAGCGCTTGACGGAGCAGGGTGGTGCACAACGCTCGACACTGGCGGCTCAGTACGCGTTGGAAAGGCTCCTCCAGCACCTGGAAGGTGCGGGACCAGTGGGTGTCGGACAATGCCGTCGATCCACTGCTATCCGTTAACGAGCAATAGCGAACCACGTAGTCATCCCTGTTTACGCACAGCAGTGCCGCGTCGTTGTGCGTGTGCAGTGGGCGTATCTGCTGGCGCGGTAGCAGCTCACTAACGCTATCAGCGTAATGCCGCAGCTGCACGTGCACCAGCGCCGCTTTTAAATCCGCGAAGCACCAGCCATTGAGGTCAACAAAATTGACGACCGCGGCCGCATACCATATCCAGGCACCGTCGGCCGGCCGACGAAGCAACGCCGACACCGGCGCTCCGGGTGTATCTTGGTGGAGATCGTTGTTGCCTGTCCACCGAAAGATCCGCCCGTATTCGACGAACTGCGAGCGCTGCGCGGGGCATTCGAAATCAATGATGAGGCCCCCGTCTACTATGTCGAGGACGCGGCCGTGCTGCAGCTGACCATCGACCAGGACCTTCCACAGCGTTCCAAAGCAACACGCGGTCTGCGTAAACATGCATTGCGTCGCAGCTGTTTGTACCGCTGCCAGGAATGAATTAACAGAGGGGAGGCGGCTTGCTGATGTAAGGTTAAGCCAGCGCCATCCAAATTTTCTCCACCAACATCCACACTAAATAAAAGCAGGTTTGGCAAGGTTTGGCTAACCTGCCTTGAATAGCAATGATATTTTGCCAAGGTACTACTTAGTATAACTTATTAAACTACGCTGGTACAGCTGTTTAACCGGACAACTTGAATGCCGTCTCAATCGATGCAATAACCCAAGTGCCTACTTCAAGCACTGCAAGTCAGCAAATCATTTTGTGATTTTCCACTGGTTTAGGCAGACATTCAGCCGCAGCTAGCAGAAAATCACAAAGTAAACTTCCTACCGACTTGATTTGTTCAGACGGTACACAGCTTTGTAATTTTTAACTGATTTGCTTTCGCGCCAGTGTAATGGATCGTTTCGCGTTGAATGCCTATACGTTCTATACGTTTACATATTCCTGATTTTTTTTTTGAAAAACCGTAGGTAACTTTTTCGCACGTCCAGTACTATAACATAACGCAGAACACGAGTGGGCAGAGCGCAGTTCTTTGTCGATCACATAATCAGTTGGTATTACCCCGAAATAAATTCAAGCGTTTTGGCATTGCGTAAGTGCAGTACACACTGAATGGTCAGCTAGAGCGAGCATGGACCACTGACAAATATTCGGGCAGAAGTTTTAAGGCGTGGCTTTGCAGGTGTACTGTGTAAGACATTCATGTCAGGCAATCTTGCCGCAGTGCACCTTATTCCACACGTTTTATCTGCTCTGCAAAGCAGCACAAAATAACATCGGTTAGTGATCGAATCATACTTTCGCTTAATGTTCTCGAAAGCTGGCCCGGCAGTGGCCCCATACATTATAGCGACTGCCGTATCGGTTCAGGTGTTGCATAAGCACATCGTTTCCCCTGTAAGTAACATCCCATACCGGGTTTTCCTCGATACCGGCTTCCATCGTGTGGCTCCATCCAATCCGGGCGTTGTACGCGCGCACACGTGCATAAAGCCGAGATGCTCGGAACCAGCAAGATTTTTCGTCAGCTTTATACCCTCACAGTACAGTGTCGTCGATAACTTAATGGTTAACACCAGTGGCACGCATCCATCATACGGTGTCGCATACCGCAATGCTGATTCACTGCTTCAACAGCCGGCTGTACCACTCGAAAAATATATTTCATTCTCAGGAAGTGCTGACTCTACACTTTGACTCTATACAACAAACACTCTCATGAGCTCGAGTTTCGGCAATAATACGTGCAAAATGTGGTTGTAGCATCACGGCATACATATACAGCTGGAAGGGAAGTCATAAGCGAACAGTGTCTAATACATTATTGTGTATACATTCTGCACTACTACTGTAGCATACGTACACATATACCTCTTGAAAAGACGGGTGGACACCGCGACTGATAAAGACAACTAAATTACTTGACGAAGGTCTTAATTACTTGACCTTCTAAATTATTTTCTTCGATCCATAATGCCCGTACTGCCTGTTGATGAAGCCTGTGCACTAGTTCTGCGTTATAAGATTCCCACCGAACAATTTGTCCTGTGTCATTTGGAAGGTCAATGCAATACTGGAGACACTTACGCCGTTGATATAACTGTTGAAGAGCAGCCGAATTACGCCGGCATTCTTCCGTCGGTGTGGACTGTGACATTAACAATCTCGGAACCGTGGGGCAATGCAAGTGTAACAGTAACCCCAAAGGAGAAGCCCCGGGTTTTCCTCGATAAAAACCCAAGACCTAACCCCCCACCCCCTAAAGAAGCCAAAAGCGGCAGTAATCTGATGGTAGATTACGCTGTCCGGTAAGTAATGCATTTACTCAATAGCGATCACATGGCAGCTTCACAACAAATGAGAGGAACTTTAATATTTAGAAGCGCATTGCAGCATACTATATACCGGTATTCGCTGCTCCTCAGGGTTCGTGGATCGTGCGATTACAAGATCGAGTCGGGAAAATGCTCTCAGGTTGAATACAGCCTGCGCAATGAGCTCCATGGCCTGACCGTTTCTGTGCGTAGCTCATGTGGAAAAGTTCATTACCTTCTGCAACCAAAAGCCCATGTGTTGGTCAATTTAATCCTCTATCCGGCGGAGTCAATCTCAAACTTGGAAACAATTCAAACAAGTCTGGAGCGAGCGGATTTGAAGCGATTACGGGAATCGCAGACGCTGTCTGACTGTACATTGGTCTGTGCCGATCGAGAATTCCCGGTGCACCGCGCCATCTTAGCCGCACAGTCGCCGGTATTCGCCGCCATGTTCCAGAATGGTCAATACTCGGAGACTACGCCGAAGCTGAGTAGACGGTCCAAACAGGGAGTCTTATACATTGACGACATCGGGGCAGATATTCTGGATGCCCTGCTGGATTTCGCCTACACGCGCGCACCTTTACAGGCGACTAATTTGACGGAATTGTGGCACGCGGCTAACACATACGATATGGACGACCTGCGCGCGGAATGTGTTCGCCGAATGATCAGCTCCATCACGCCCGATAACGCTTTCCAGTACTTCTGTTTGGCTCGTGAGCACGGCTTGACTCAACTGAAGGTAGCTGCTGGAAAGGTCATTGGTCAAGATCCCGGTAACGTCACTTGAGCATGGATTGATTGTATGGTTTCAACTGGACACGGGACGGACGAGGTTTTTTTTCTCTAGTTGCGGAATTTAGAAGCTTAGTTTTCTGATCCTAATATACAAGTTGTAGAAAGAAGAAGATCTGATAATTTTCATTGGTCATCTGTTGTACTCCACTAACATTTTGCTTACTAAAATGTTGGTGCTCATCATGATTGATTTCTCCTGTCTGGCTTGACGAGGACCACCATTTAGCTTTAATTATGCAATATATTATTACGTTATGCATATGCGGCTGCCGAAAGAGTCTGTAAAAAAAATATACAAACATGCGTACAAGAAAAAAAACAGCAAAAGAAAGTATTGATTGTTCCACCCCTCAAAGGCCGCTGTCTTCCTGTTGACGAAAAGACCAGTACGACAGCATAACTATCGCAAATATTTAATTCTGTCGACACGACTCAACGGCAATTTAGGAGCCACTGTAATAATCTCAAAAGAGGTACATCGAAGTAGCGAATATATGGGAAGTTGCGTTCAGGTTAACTCCGTGCAATGTCTTTGTCAAAAGCAGGATCATTGTCAAACATTCAGAGAATGTCTATACACCAAAACACCTACCCGTAGAAAGATGAAAGCAGACGAATGCTGTGCGAGTACTTTGCTGTTCATTGGAAACTATAAACACACTGTTTCCAGCAGAGTATTTCCGGCAAATTACGCTGTATTCCCGCAAAATTTCTCACACATCTGTTCAAAACTTTAAAGCATAAGCTTTCTTGTTGGGTGTGGCTATTCCCACCATCTCGCACCGCCCTTTGGCTGTTCTCAGCACCTTGCGGCTGTTCGCACTAGCTTTCAAAAATAAATTGTACTACCCAGAGACTTTTTGATGAGTTCGTCTGAATTTAGAGGACCTTCGCTACGCTCCGGTTGAATACTGTAAACATCCATGGGTAGCACGCCTAGCACATTGCAGGTCCAAGATTTCGAGCTCACACGGGGATCTTTCGCCAATAACTGAACGGTTGCCCAGCAGTCGTTTTTTTCGGTGTTGTAAATTTCCAGTGTCCGCTCTAGGAAGATCCCGTTTCCGGTTTGCTTTTCTCCACCGCACACGTAGATGCAGTTATCCACAACGCAAGCTGAAGGACGACTACGTGGTTTTTCAAGCGATGCAATTTTCTCCCAGATCCATGTTTTGAGGTGCAGGCGGAAGCAGCCACTTTTTCCCGACCTTTTGCGCTAAGCACAAGAAACAACTGGAACAAGAATAAAGGGCTTGACCGTTTAACCAAGGACCGGTCAGCTTTCCTCACATTCAAAAAAATTTTGTTCTCTGTTCTAAGACAGTACATGAAGTGGGAATATTTAAAAAATAGTTTCATCGGGACACATCGATGGAAGTGGCCAAAAACAAATTCAAAGATATAATTATCGTATGCAAACACAACGTATTACTAACCATACTATTCCTAGCTGTTTCGCTAGTTAGAATACTGTACAACGGATTCTCAAAGCATAGCTTAACCGGCTGTCATTCCTGTAGGTATGCCGCCTTACTGTTTTGGTCGTATAACTTGCTTTGTAATAGTTGTGAAATGTTTATGTCACGTGGTCTCTTATCGGCGTTCTAATATTGCTACGATATTAAGATATGTTTTATTTACTGAACTTTAGGTACTCGTAGGTATTGCAGAGCATGATAAAAGGTGCGGTTTTCTAAAATTTTCGTAAGAGGACCAATGGGTGCTGTGAACTCCCCTTGCACGATTTGGCTGCGATGAACAGCTGGTTAGCCGTAGCTCGCAACGCTACTGACATCACAGTCTAAATGCAAACGGCTTAAATGTACCCGGGTGCTCATCGCAGCCTAATCGTGCAAGGGGAGTTCACAGCACCCATTGGTCCTATCGTATCGTATTGAAAAAGCCAGTTATTCAAAACTTAAGGGAAGGGGGCCGGTATATGGTACCGAATTCGTGTACATGCACACAAACTTTCACATTCGCGCACTCCCAAACACATTTTTGTTTCGATTTTTGACGTTTTATAGCCAGAAGATTTGTGTACACTGGCGTGAAAACCGGTTCGGAAGTTATGACCGTTAGAAAATTCCAAAAAGTTTAAATGCGTTCAGGTGTACCAAAAGTCTCATTATTGTCCGATCTCCTTCAAATTTTTCAAGTAAATGCGCATAACCACGAAGAACGTTTTTACACCGATCCACTGTTTTAGCATGTTTCTTCAATTTTAAAATGAATTTCAAAAATTTTAAAATTTTTTTTCTATGTGAAAAAAAATCATGGAGTCTGGATCGGTGTAAAAACGATCTTCATGGTTATGCGCATTAGCGCGCAAAGTTTAAAGGAGACCGGTCCATAATGAGACTTTTGGTACATCTGAACGCGTTTAAACTTTTTGGAACTTTCTAGTAGTCATAACTTCCGAACCGGATGTTCGGAAGTTATGTTTGCGCGCACAAACGGTGTTTACGCCAGTGTATACAAATCTTCTGGCTCTAAAACGTCATAAACCGAAACAAAAATGAGTTTGAGAGTGCGCGAAAAAGAAGGTTTTCGTGCATGTACACGAACTTGTTACCTTGTACCGGCCACTTCGCTTAAATCAAGTCAAATGTGCAGCTATAACGGGTATTTTCGGTAAATATAGAATGGTAAGTACATATGTAACCGACTGAAACGCTGATGATGCAGTTGTGCTGCCGCTAGGCGCTAACGGTGTCCCACTTTGAAATCCTGTTTCCGTATATTTAATAATATATATGCCATAGGGCAAACTCAGCGCTTTCAAAATATATACAGATTTTTTATATGGAGAACCATATATTTTTCAGTTGCTATGGTCAAGAGTAATAGGAGTAATACGAAAACAATCACGATTAGAGAATTTCGTTCCTCTAGCCGAAATTGCCTAGAGAATTTTTTTCAACTGGTCAAGCCTAAAATTCAATGACATTTACTGGAACCTGATTAGTCGAGCAACGGCGAATAACTTTTCCAGGAAACTAGCATCATTCAAGAGCAAATACATTGTAGGAATAAATGGTGATAAACACTGCCAAATAATTTCAAAAACAAAATTATTGAGAATTTTTGAATGAGCTGTGTCAATTTGGCTGCCGCACCCTCTGTACTGTAATGTACTCGTATTTGTGAAATAAAATATCAGACAGCAAAAGACAGCAAAACAAGCAAACAGCCACCGAGCACGGCTGTACGGAGGAGCCACTCTTCCTAAGTCCTGACAAGAGCGTTGTATTAATGAGACAAGCTCCTTCTACTGGGATGCGGCATCCAGCAGAACCTGAGCACGCATGAATGCACACTGCACAGCACATTTTGGAGTAATGTCAAATTTGTCGCTCGCAAAATTTCATGCTATTGGCAGTTCTAATTGCTTAAATCGCTTTTATAGTTAGTATCTTACTATCGAGCCATGTGTAGAGGTTATCAGTTTATAGTCAAGGTGCTAAAATGAAACGAAAAAATAAAAGTACCTTTATTGCAAGCAAGTGCAAAGTTATACACGGAAGTACATAATTGTATGATCCATTACGAACTTTCGACAAAATGTAGGTGCATCCGATTCCACGCAGCCGAGTGCAAATTCGGCAACATCGGTTCAGGGATCCGCTCCGGTTGTTTCAGTAACCGGTTCAGCACCCACCGACTGCCTGCATACTGGGCAGTTTCGTGAATAGGTAATCAGCCATGTTGTCAAACACTCCTTGTGGCCAACTGCAAAAATCAATGCACTTGCATGTGACAGAGCTTGAGTGTGTATCGGCGCGAATTATAGGAGATCATGCGAACTGAAATTCAGTGCAATTAATTATAATCGGAAGCAAAAGAATGCGGTGCATTACTATGCTGGCACGGCAAGGTTATCATCATTTCGCCAGTAGCCAAATTTTGCTGACACATAGGGCATATCATGTCGTCCGATTGCTGGGTGACCTCGGCTTGGGTAAGGTGGTTCATTTCATCTTCCGTTAGTGGAACCCCAGTGGCATGTGGATGCTCTAGTTCAGGTGCTTCATTTTGAGCAATAAGTAACTCGATGTGTCTTTTCACAAGTTCTTCCCTGATAGCAGCAATCGGGAAAGCTTCCTCCTGGGATGGGCACTGCGTTGGTGGCAGCAAATTCTCGTGTTAGAGTGCATCACTAAAGAAACATACAGAAGCAAAAACTAAGTTCTTACTTGAGCCCTTTCGGTTGCCGATCGGGTAGCCCTCAGTTTACGTTGTCGGCAGCAACGGTGGATTGCATACATTAACAGGCTGAAAACAAGCACGGAAACAGCCACCGCCAGAGCAACTGTCTGGTTAAAAGTCTGGGAATTGTCCGCTTTGGTGGAATAAGAGGAATAACCATGAGAGTTACCACCGTGTAGGAAACTGCAGCAGTACAGCAATAAACGTATGCGCACTGAGCAGCATCTCCCAAAAAAGCTTGAACGTACTTTGCAAGCAGCGAGGAAAAGGAATCAAACGACTCGTTGGTTGGTAGGCGCGTCAGATTCTTTCCGATGCGTAATTCGTATCTGCATAATTATTATTTTAACCGTTAGTCTCAAATGCAACAGCAACACAATGGTCACAACTCCTTTGGCTGAATTATGCGTACGCATAACTAAGTAAAAGTAAAATTACGTAAAACATAATCTCCCACTCTGCGTAGCACCTGGTACTGGGTAAGGAACTGAATATAAATTTCTTCAGTTCCACTCCCTCTTCATAGCCGACGAAATGGACGGTAAGGTTCGTCCGATCAACAACGCTCCTGGGAATCTCAACCGAGAATGGCTCAGTCGTGAAGTTTTTGTCGGGACTTAAGTACACGATGATGCCGGTGTAGTATTTCTCATATGCGTTTAGAATTTTGGCGCCAATTCCATCCCCATCGTCAGTAACATCTGTGTGCAGTGTAATAAAGCAATGAGCTTATCATTATTGTCTTAGTCAATAAAAAGACGGTTTTTACTACGTCTTGTACCTTACACAGCGAGTAAAATCGAAATCTCGCTTGTTTTACAGCCATTACTGATATGTTACTGTATCCGCGCGAGTTTAAGGGACAGAAAATTCCCCCGGAGCGCCCGCACTAGATGTCGGCTCCTTTGACATCAAAGAAACCGACGCCTAGCGCGGGCGGTCTGGGGGAATTTTCTGTCCCTTAAACTCGCGCGGGTACAGTACATATATCATAGTGCAGGCAATTAAATTAATGGAAATCTTAATGAAATCGCTAATTGTTTAATGGTGCATCTTACTTTCTCTTTGCGGACATGGTTGGTCATCCACTAGAAGAACGGAGTCAACCCATCGGTTTCCAGACTCAACCAAGGTAGCGAGATCCAAGTCATCTGCACTGCACCCAGCTGCAGGAGCGGCAGCTTTTAAGTATACCTAAACCGGTTTTCTCATTTCTCGGACGCTACTCGTTGCGCAGAAGTGATGGTTTACTTACAGGATTGTCATCCGCGGAACTGCCCTCAACAGCCAAATAGTCATTACAATGGACACCATAAATGTGGTTACACTCAAACCGTACGCAACCAGATACTTATCTGTATTCAGACAGCCAATTCTGTGCTGGCCATCGGCCTGCTGATGTTTACACTTGCACCTTGCACACTTCCCAACGAAAACTATCAAACGATATCTCAAAAGAATGAGAAAAAAATTCTAAGAATTTTGATACCATACAAATTCGCTTTTGTTTCATCTAAGAGAAAATCGAGGTTCCTGAAGTTTCCCGTAGACAAAGCATATGCGTGAAAACAAACCAAACCGTGGATTCAAATCCTATGCTATGTCTACGGGAAACTTTAGGAGCCTCGATTTTCTTTTAGATGTAATAAAAACCAATTTGTTTGGTATCAAAATTCTTAGAATTTTTTTCTTATTCTTTTGAGATATCGCTTGATGGTTTGCGTTGAGAAATGTGCAAGTTCCAAGTGCCTGAGTTTAGCATACGAGTCTACGCGCAATGGACATGACCGACTTATTTCGGTCTGCTGTTGGTCTTGCCGTTAAAATATCGGTCCTCGGACCGATTGTCTAGTGTAACCACATTTATGGTGTCCACTGTATCACCGGAAATCGTATAGACTGGAGCGGTTGAGAGAGTACCGTTTTGTCTTACATAAACCTCAATGAGGCATTCATGAAAGTTTATTAAGAGAACCAGGGTGGACAATCCCAAATAAAGAGATGCAACCATGGATAAAGGCCACATATTGGGACTACGGTTAATTAGCAAATTTTCACTGTGTTTCAAATAGAATAAACTACAAATTCGTTAGCACAAGTACACACAGTAACTTCACTAAACTGGCTGTTGTGAGTTACAATAAAAAAGCAACAAAAAAGCTAGGAAAAAGTGTTTTTATTACACCAGCAAAAAGCGTGAAGTTCTGCAAAATATGCAAGTTGACAACAGAATTGTGGTCATATAAACGTCTTTAAACGCTCGCAACAAACACATGCGGCAATCAGACAAAATAATAAAAGTGGGGTTTTATTGCTTTGGTTGACGCGATACATTTTAGGACGTTGACGGTGCAGATTATTTCTGTTCCGGCTACTCTGCAATACTCATAGTTAAATCATGTAAGTTAAATTTGTGCAGTTTACATGTAAGTACTCGTACATTGCGTGATCGTAAATCGATCGACTATCCTAATCTTTGCATACTGTAGGCCGAGTGCGTACCCGGAGGCCAGGTATCACATGCAGCTTGAATGTAGGTAATACGTATGCTATCGTTTTATTTTGTCCACAGCTTTAATAAAGGCTGTAAAATTTAGCTACCTTGAACACGCTGTTGTTGTGAAGTAACAAGCATACGTACTAATTTTTCTACCGGTGCCGTGTATGTACTAGGTCCCGGTATAAACTAAAATATTAAGCACAGCTAAACGGCAAACTCTGTATAGGACCAAAATTAGGCGCATATTGTTAGTTAAATTCTATCTAACATTGATGGCTTTAGTTTCTGATATGCACCTGCCACAGACTCTCGCAACGGTCGGAAGCTGAGTAGCGATGACGGTGGGATGAAATAGGGCTTGAAGCGGATAGAAGATACCGGTAGCGTAACCGTATACGTCGTTGTAATCGTCGGTGCCAGCCGTCCAATATGCAAGCGCGGGCCATAACAGAGTACGATACTTGTGAAGTATTGTGTAAGTAATACTTTAACAGTTAATTAATACTACATATTTAATGATGTGAGCAGCAACTGCGCAGCAGGTTGAATGGCAGAAAGTACAGCACAAAGAAGTAAAACAGTAGTTGCTAGGAAAGCAACGTACACGACAATACTAATCGTCAGCAGGTTCAGCAGGAGAAACCCGCGAAACTGCTGTTGCACTGTCGCTGGTTGGTCTTTACAACGTCCTTGCGATTCTTACGACCAGTGCTACTGGGCAGGTCCCGGTGTGATAGTGGCCGCAGTAAAATACCACCTTTCAGTAGCAGAAGGCGCTTGTTCATCAATACCGACGCCCTGTTTGGCTGGTAGACCCTGTGGATGTACACGAATTTACTGCTATGTACCGAGCCAACTTCCTTAAATCCAATAATCTTGTGTGAGCCAATTAGTCGGATAAAATAATGTTATGCTCTCGCAAGTTCCCTTTAGTACAGTAAGTACATTTGGTCTTACACATACCAGAAGCAGTATACTACTGATCCTTACTTGGGAAACCTTTAATGTTTTTTTATGTAAGCGACCAAATTTTGCTAACAAAATCTAACTGTGAAAGTAGACGTTTCGTACGTGCTTCATAATTAATCGACTCAGAAAAAAAACTTCAACTGGAGTCTTATCGAATGCAGAATGTGTTTTTATCATCATAAATTTTACTTATACATCTGAAGCGCATTAGTATTTTGCGTGTATTGGCGTTTCTCTAGGCAAAGCAAATTCATGCAATCTACAAAATTTATTGTGTTACAATATTAGTACATGTACATAGCGACTACCGGTGCACATCGTCAGTGCCGCTCTACAGTAGTATAGGCTACTGGCGAAGATACATATACAGGCCTGCTACTGATCGTAAAACTTTCGAGCTGATCCGGAGACGGAGAAAGGGCCTAGAGAACGCCTATGTTAAGCTGCCGTAGAGATATTTTCTCGCTCTATATAGCATCGCCAGTAGCCTTTCCAGATTCAGATCTATATTGCCACGAATGGGATACAGCAGAGCCGGCAAACCAGAAAAGACTGACCAAAACCAATATAATATTCTGAAGCCCGTAGTCGAAAACCCGGTCAGATAGTAGCCTATTTCAGATTGCTTTCGGTAGAACCTCCGTACATAGAATCGCACGGCGTCAGATAAGCAGCACGTCAGCAGGATGAAAACTGCTTCAGATCTTTGTCCGGTTGCACTTTGGTCACGTACAGCAACGAAAATCAAGTCGAGTGCGCGCGAGAACGTGACCACCCTGCTGGCGGTTGGCGGTCTGGGTGCTCAAAGAAGATCCACGGGCAGCATTAGCTGGCCTGCCATTCTCTCAAGTGTCTGAGCCGTTGCAAGCATCCGTGTAAGGCAGATAGTTTTTACGCGTCACCGCACGACGCTAGGTTACCGCTGCTAACGTCGCGAATGGACGTAAAACAACCCGAAACCGAAGGTTCCACATGGAACCGGAGCCGAAGGGAACATAAACCGCGCAATCTGAAATAGTCTAGTATTGATTTCTTTCAAAACCTCTCTCGCTTGGAACGCCAAAGCGGAAGAGTTTTGACTACATTTACCAAATGCAACTAAATTAGTATATTAATATAATTATCATCGTGGTATTTCTAACCAGACAATGTTGCCACATAAACCAACTAAAATATAGTTAAGAAATAAAATTATTCTCTACTAATTGAATCATCAGAATGAATTCAATACATATTACGACAAGAACGACTACTTCTACACATCTAAGACAATTTCTAAACAAGTGCCGGCCGAGCAGCTATCGCTACACTATCACTACGGTGATGGCCTGTTCAGTCACTGACAGACCGAACTGGCTTTTGAAACTTTTGGCGTCGCTAGCCCTTCATGTCTTAAGTTTTTGCGAGAATTGGGCAGGCGGTTAAAGGATGCTACGGGAGAACGACGCTCTTACGAGTTTCTGCTACAGCGTATCAGCATTGAAATACAGCGGTGGAATGCGCTGTCCGTGACTTCTACTGTACCGCGTTCTGATGGTTTTAACGCTGTTTACTTTGTTTTATGATGTTGATGTTTAAAACTGCTGAACGATAAGCAAACCAATAAATTCATACCCTACTACCACCACCGTTCAGTGCACAAACCCGTTAGTTCAGGAGTGACCGAAATACCACTATATTTTAGTTAAAACAGTCCGCTATGCCAGTGAGTGACCGAGCTACTACTATGGATAGCAGTGTGACTGGTTGACCGAGCTGTCATTACTGTACAGACCGTTAGAGAACGAGTGACCGAGTTACCACTACTGTTCGGCGCAGAAAGTACGACCTTCGCCTGGAAACGCGGCATGTGTTTGGCGTGGGACGTCACCTGCGTTGATACCGTCGCCCTGTCTCACTTGAAATCCACGTAAGCTACAGCTGGGTGTGCCGCAACGCAGGCTGAAGATAATAAAGTGCGATTATACCTGTATCTGGTGGGAAGATACATTTTCGCACCATTAGCCTTCGAAACACTCGGACCTTGGGGAAAGTCGGCCATCGCTCTGGTAAAAGAAATCGGTAAACGACTTCAGCTGCAGACAGGTGAACCTCGTTCTTGTGAATTCCTGCGCCAACAATTATCGCTGGAAATTCAGCGAGGCAACGCCGCTTGCGTCCTTGGAACAATGGAAGGAGCGGCAGCATTAAATAAGATTTTGTTGTTGTGAATCGTGACTAACTGTTTTTGATCTGTGATGTATCTGTATTTTATGAAATAAAAATACGTAATTAAATGTATTACCTGGCCGCGGCTAAATGTATTTCCTGACTAAATGTATTAAAATGGAACATTATGAAGGTTGCAAAGGAGGCTCATTCATACATCAGAAGATGATCTGGATCACCACCTGATCTTCTTGGGCTGATGCGCCTTTAATTTTTCTTAAATTTTCAAGAAACACCGACAATTTTCGACTTTTACCGGCAGTATGATCATGTAACCTTGAACTTTTAGAGAACATCACAGCAACAAACAATTTAACTTATCATTTTATTAAACGCTACAAAAAATTTATGGTTGTATGCGGAGTCAAAAGTGGCGTGCAAAAGGTAGTATTAGGAGCCAAATGTGGTACAAAAGGTGGTATTAGGAGTCAAAAGGTGGTATAAAGGTTGTACGCGGAGCCTTCACCATGTTTTAATACATCATCCGTTTATTCGAGGGGATGGCGGTAGCGCATTTCAGCACTCCCTGTGCTTGCTACCGTAAGCAGGCTGGAGTATAACGTTGTGGCTAAACATGGTGGTTCGGTACAGCGCCAGATTTAGCCATATGTACTGCCGTAACTTCACACTCCAGGCGAGGGACGGCAGCAACACAGAGACTGTTAAAATGTGCTACTGTCGTGCCCTCGTATACTTCGATAAATCCTTTTCTGGGCTCCGGCTGTTGGCTCTTTATTGCGAAAAGCACTGTAATAAGTACTGTGCAGCGTGTCCGCCGTCTGTAATTAGTTTACATCTATATAACAACCTTTATTGAGTTCCGTTTGCTGTTATGCGGCAAAAAACCCCTATTACAAATTAGGGGAAAAGGCTCGCAAGACCTATTCTTTTTTGAAAAGTTTTACTCTATGTCTAAGTGGTTTATTCTGGGATAAAGCCGCTGCCAGGATAAAACTAGAAAGCCGATAACAGATGTCCAAGGTTGCCGCTCTTACTGGACTGCCATAATGACTACCGTAGTGTCAACCGAAACTTCGTTGCCTGTTGATGGTTTTTTATATACCGAAAAGCAGCACTTATCGCAGTTATCGGTGAGATAAATAATCCAGCGAACATATCCCATCGTGTGAAAGTTAAAGCGTTAATAATTATTCTTAAGCAGAATTAACCAGCTATTTATTTATACATTTCCGGGTAACAGTAAGCTCACGCTAAAATGCGATAAGTTCGAGTTTACCAATTAAGCGTAAATGAGTTAGCAAAAAACTGATGTTTTTTTACGGCGTATTTCGAGATAAAATAATACAATCGACAAGGCCATTGGTGTCATCCACCATTCTCACGGTAACGCTGCCGGCGAAACTTAGGACCGCTCTGGCTCCTCGACTGCACTTTCGGTTAAGATCGATCGTATCGTTTAAGATCAAAGCCGGCCATGCGAGCCGCAGTCATGCTCAAGATCTCACGGCTTTTCTTATTCATTTCCCTTTCAATCGTTCTGCCGGTTTGATGCAGTTTCTCAATTTCAGTCAGCTCAGTCTGGAGCGCTGCAATGTCCTTGGCTGAAATAAAGTACAGCCGCGTGTTGAGACAGCCTATTGCCACATTGAGGACCCCAAATCCTACAGCGAACCAGGTAGCCAGTGGGCTCCCCAGGCCATTTAGAAGTCGGGCACTGTACAGCGTTGCTGCGCCTTGTACTACACCAGATACGGCACTGACACCCGCGCCGGTTCTTTGAGTTTGTAGCTTTTTTTGTGCTCCATCAACTCTGAAGTGCAGTTCCCCTGTTAAATTGAAAAACATCGCCTAAATACTATGGTCTTGTTTCGGTATTATAACACTGTGGTCAAGGTGGACAGGGTACCACCTTGCTATGGTCTTATTTTTAAAGGATAGGATGCTGTATCTGTACATGAACGCGAAGTGTTAGCTGATTAATTACAGATCTTTTTCTTGCGTGAAGCAGTTACACACAAATGCAGAGAAGGACGAAAATACTCTTGCAGCTGTGATACAATCGAAATACAACCTAACAATCCGCTTTTCATGGCGACATAAGGGCTGGACTTACCAATTTCTTTCAGAAAATCGTCGGTTGCTATTCGGATTTCCAAGATGAAATATTCTGCTGCCAGCTTCGCACCATCAAAGTTGGTACCGTTTCCATTTAAATCGGCTAATGCGGTTTGCAAACGGGTCATATTGGTCTGTATCTCCGTCAGAATTTCGGCAATTGTTTGCCGTTGTTGAGGAGAAACCAGAACAAGATTCCTGGCTTCCTTTATCGTTTCCCAAAAGGAACCTGCCTTGTACCCTTCAATGATGGCACAGACGCCGCTCGATACCACGCTAGCTAACAGAATCCTGTTTGCCATATTGCGCATGGTGTCGTCCAGTCCCTGACGTATAGGACTGGCTCAATCCGTACCAAGATCGTGTTGCGCAACCAGTTGCGGCACCAACAACATAATTTGACGCAACGTAGTATATTACACACCGCACGTTCAGAGGCACATCCACCGGTGTACAAACATTCGGGCCAGTGTTTCAAAATCTATGGTTTACCAAATACGTTGTACGAAGACACTGTCGCATCACATCATATTCTGCACGTTTTACATGCAAAGCACCATAAAACAGCACCGGTTAAATGATCGTGCAGTAACTCCGTTTGATGTGCTTTGGCACCGAAGTTGCGCTTTCACATCTTTTACCTAAAGGTCACATCCCAGTCGATGGGCTGTCCGGGATATCGCTTCCTTCGTGCCCGGCTTCATTTGATTCCGGACGTTTTTATATCATTATGTGCTTCCATGTGTACAAAGCCGAGAGGCTTGAAATGAGCAATAATTTTTGCCAGCTACTGTAGCGGCTCGACCAGGTTATACCACAGAGTTTGGGTACGGGGAAATTGCACCCGAGCAGCGTGCGCATGAGCACACCTTTGCTTGTATATGTAAATAATGTAACCTAATGCACACACCCCGAATACTGTTTTACCGTGCAGAAACTCTGTGGTACAACTTGGTGGAGCGTACAGATTCTGTACACAGAAGTTGCAGTGCGATGCCGTTGATAACCACATACAAGCTGCACGCTTTCATCATCGCTGCCGCATACTGCTATGCTGATTCACTTTTTTTACAACTGGCTTAAGCACTCGAAAAGCACATTTTCTCAAAAAGTGCTGACTGGACGTTTTGTCTCTTTACAACAAAACACTCATGAGTTCCAGTTTCGACAATACAACATGACAAATGTGGTTCAGTAATCCGGCTGACAAAAGCTTTCTGCGTTATATTTGGTACTAGAAAACGCGCATACATATACTGTTGCAAAGACGTTTCGATACAGCGACTGAAGAAGACAGCCTTGGTCAAGTTAAATCTTAAAATCCTCTTATACGAAAAAACATATTTTGTTTGTTGACGGCAAACTATTTTGTTTGTTATATCCATGATGCCCGTGCTGCCTGTTAGTGAAGCTCCGGCTCTAGTTCTGTCGTACAAGATTCCAACCAAGCGGTTTATCCTGTGCCAGCCGGAAGGTCAACACGACTCTGAGTATACCAGTATCTACGCTGCTGACGTGACTGTTGAAGAGCAACCGAATTATCCCGGTATCCTTCGATCAGTGTGGACTGTGAAACTGGTAATTTCGGACATCGATGATACCACAAGGGCAAAAGTTTTCCCTAAAGAACCAAAAATGGCAGCGCAATGAAGGTATATTACGCGGTCCGGTAAGTACAGCATTTACTCACTAGTCACATGGTATAAAACCAAAAACGAGAGCAATTTCACGATAATCATTAACATACTGAATTATACTGAATACCGGTATTCGCTGCTCTTCAGGGCTCGCGGATCATGCGATTACAAGATCGATTCGGGAAATTGTACTGAGGTGGATGACGACGAACATAATGCGCTCAGCAACCTGACCGTCTCTGTGCGTCGCTCATGTAGAACTAATCATAAGCGCCTGGAACCAGACGGTCATGTGTTTGTCAGTTTAATCCTGTACCCGGTAAAGTCAGCCATGGAAACCGGGAAAGACCGAGCGGATTTGAAGCGACTGCGGGAATCGCAGACGCTGTCTGACTGTACATTGGTCTGTGCCGATCGAGAATTCCCGGTGCACCGCGCCATCTTAGCCGCACAGTCGCCGGTATTCGCCGCCATGTTCCAGAATGGTCAATACTCGGAGACTACGCCGAAGCTGAGTAGACGGTCCAAACAGGGAGTCTTATACATTGACGACATCGGGGCAGATATTCTGGATGCCCTGCTGGATTTCGCCTACACGCGCGCACCTTTACAGGCGACTAATTTGACGGAATTGTGGCACGCGGCTAACACATACGATATGGACGACCTGCGCGCGGAATGTGTTCGCCGAATGATCAGCTCCATCACGCCCGATAACGCTTTCCAGTATTTCAGTTTGGCTCGTGAGCACGGCTTGACTCAACTGAAAGTTGCTGCTGGAAAGTTCATTGGTCAAGATCCCCGTAACATCACTTGAGCATGGTTCGTGAAGAGGAGATTGTTTTTTTAGTTGTGAATGAACGTTTTACTTACCGTTTTTTATCGCTTTGTTGTCTGATCCTGCTATACGGACGGTTGGAAGTAGAAGATTCGATGATTTTCCTTGTCTTCATTTGCGCTAACACAATACTTATCGAAACGCTAATTTTATTTTATTATGACTATTTTCTGCTGCCTGACATGGCGGGAACGCCGGGGACTACCAATTGGCTTAAAATTGCGCAGCTTCACCCTTTGCAAACATATTTTTGCTCAGTTGAAATAGGGTAGCTTTGAGATTTACAATTATCAAGTGGTTTCTGATAATAAAAAAATGCGATTCAGGTTATACATTACGACTTTATTTCTGACCAGGGCACACAGAGAGGCTCCAAATTCAGAGAAATCTAATTTTTTGCAGAAGGGGCCGTCAGGCCGACTCGTCACGCTGTTGAGTATCCGCCGCAGGCAAAAAAGGATTTATTCCGACAAATAACAATTGTAAATAGTAATTCTGCCGGCATGACTCAATGGCAGTCTAGGAGCTAACACTCTCAAAAGAGGTAGCGAAGTACATGTGTCACGGCTTCATACCAAGGTCTAAACAATCTGGTTACCGTTGGCATAAGCTTTTTGGTTTTCCGTGCAAAGTAAATGGTCAAGCTGCGCTGTATTACGAGTACTTCAAAATCCAAAAAAATGATCAGTTCCTTACATCTGACGGAATATAGCAGTACAGTACGTAAAGTGACGGCTTTACTCGTACTTTCTATTATTCGCTGTACTTTCTCGATCTTTCTCTTTTGTGTTCGGATTTACTTTTGGTTGTTTCTACACGGATGCGCCGTGTCTATACAAGTCCCTGAGTGGCAGTACTTTAATCACGAGTTCTCTCACTACGGGTTTTGGCAGTTTCGGAGTTTCTAATTAAATTATCGTCGGAGATGCAGTTCTCGCTTCGCGTAGATTCGTAGACTTAGCTATGCCACATTGAGATTATCAGCTCATACTCTGTCGTTGAGTAGGTCGGTAGGATAGATTATTACGGTAATTATTCCTATCGTACTGATCTCTCCGTCATGGCGCCCACCGATGTTCGAACCTTTCCGATGGCTTAGCTAAGTAAACTGTGATTGAAATTGTGATTGTGAATGTTGGCTTCTAGAAAGTGCTCAGTCCGGGTACAACTGTACTGACTGGACGGATGTCCGGGCAGCTGGTCTGCCGTCTGGACGCCTAAACGTTAGTAGTCCGGGTACTGGCGACGCTTTGGTAAGGGGAAACCCTGCTGATTCGTGCCTGCGACCCACGGCGAAAACCTGTAAATGTCCGGGGGCTTTGCCCTGTCTGGACGCTGAGCAGTTTGTCCTGCCAGCAGGGCGATGCAGGGATAACCTGTAGATCGACCCATGAGCACTGAAGTGAATGAAATGAAAATGAAATGAATATTGAACTGATGAAATGACGAAAGTGAATTGATGAACTGATAGTGAAGCAGGTTCTCGTAGCTACTGGCCAGGGCACGAGTTTCCTAAAAAATCTGAAGCGTAGCAGTTACGTAACTGGACTGCAAGTAGACAGAGTCGAAAGCAGTTTCCTTGAGCTAAAGTTTTTTGTTTGCCAGAGCAGTGCCTGTGCATTCAAAGTGTCGACACACATCTTGAGCTTAAGTTTTGTATGCGAGAGCGAAAAGCCAAGCATACAGGTGCACCAAAATCTTAGCGTAGCGTAGCCATACAGCCAGAGCCATTGCGAGCGCTGTGAGCGGTGAGAGAACACCGGAGATCATAATCTCAAACTGAAAATCTAATGTATCCGGGTGAGAACAAAAGAGTCAACCCGGTAGTCAGTGTAACGAAAACTGAAAACAAAAGCGTAGCTTAAGTTTCCGCGTAGAGCAAAAGCCTACCGGATGAAAATGTAAAGCCAGTGCAACAGTCACTGCGGATAAAAGACGTAGCTAAAGCATCCGGGTTAGAACAAAAGAGTTCCTCGGAAAGTTAGTGCAATGGACACTGACAAATTCAAAAGAATGGAAGGCGCAAATGCCGTACAGTTTGGCGGCATGGCAGAAGATGAAGAATTGTGGTACGACATGCACCCGCTGCAGTCCGAACTAATTGACTTCTCGCTTGACCAGGGAAGATTTGAGAATGCAGTTGAAAATTGGGGAGGCAGAATTGATGAAGAAATGAACGTGAATGAACTGAAAGAAATTGCTTGGGCATCTCTGTATGCCGCACTTGCACTTCAGAGGAAGTACAGCAACGCTAACCGTATATGCCATGCATTAAGCGGCCGCAATACAGATATGGCCATTGAAAACAGTGCTTTAACTGCTGAACTGGTTAAACTGCGTAATAAAGCTGGACGAATTGAAAATGAGTGTTGCGAAGAAAAAACCCGAGCCGATGAATTGATGAAGCGCCAATTAGCGCTGATGTTGAAAATGGATGAAATGCAGCGAATGCCTAAAGCGTCTGAAAAAATTCAGTACCCGCAGATATATGAAGGTACACAAGGAAGCGGTAAAGTTGAACGCTTCATTCTTGATTGCGAAAGGTGTAAAGATTTGAATGAGTGGACTGAAAAACAGTTGATTAAAAAAGGGTTGTCGTACGCACTGAAAGGTGATGCGTACTTGTGGTACGCGGAAAATAAAAAATTAAATCCAGATAAAGACTGGATTTACTGGAAAGCAGCATTGATTAATCACTTCTCTTCGGAGAGTGACCCGGCCGAAATACGGCAAGCCATGTACGCACGTGTCTTCAAAGAGGAAGACACGGTAAATTCGTATGTTGATGGTTTCCTGAATTGGTTTAATACACTTGATACGAAAGAAGAAGAAAGAGTTTCAGTTCTCGTTCAGGGACTGAAGAAAACCCGAATGGAGTGGTATGGCAAGCTGGTCATATCAAAACCTAAGACTGTTGAAGACGTTATGGCACAGCTGAAAACGCTGTACGCACTGAAAGTGCAACGAGAAATGTACGAAAATGATGACTGTTGTGAGTATGAAGATGACTGTGAATATGTGTACAGTGAGTGTGAAAATGGTAATTTGAATGATGACGACTGTGAATACGATGAAAATTATGAAATCTACAATAATAACGGTAATAAGCCGTACATGATCGGAAATGTCGAAATCGACGTTAACAAATGGCGAACCGATAGCGGTCAGCCGATCTGTTTTAAATGTCACGAGTTGCATCCGGCTAAGTACTGTACATTTAACGGTAAATGGAAAGACGTTTCAAAGGAACCGCCGATTGAAGTGCTTAAGCGTTACAATATGAAACGACTGGAAGCACATTCACTGGAAATACGTACTGTACAATGTGAAGCAAAAGTGAATGAAAATGTGGAAACTGAAATGCGGCAGCACTCAAGTTTGCGGGGCGATCAGTGCCCAATAAGCTACCGCCTGATGCGTTGCAAACGACTGTGGCCAGTCAAGTTTGCGGGTAAGCGGAACTGAAGTATACTGGAAAGTTAGCACTCACTATGCGCCTGAAAAATTTGCACAATGAAAATGATTGATTCAGTGCGAAAAAGATGTGCGAAAAACGAATTAATACCGCGTGGAGTGTCAGTTCAACAGTATCTGACCACTCGGTATTATTGGCATAATATGGAGAAAACTATTGAAAATGTTTTGAAGAAATGTGATAACGCTGAAGTAACTGGAAATGTTGAAAATGTGTCAGATTGTGCTAAAATGCGTGATATTGAGTGCGTAGCTAAACTGTGCAGTAATTTGCAGATCGAAAAAGTTGAAATGTGTCTTACGCAGTCGCAGGGAAAAAGCCCGTGCACTACGAAATGTGTTCAGTACGCGTATAATGGGACTGGTCGACGCATCGACGCAGATGACTGTAAAAAACCTGAATTTATGAATCGGACCAAAGCAGATCTAAAGAACGCGATAATTGTTGATGATCAAGAACTGAAAATGGTGTTTGAAGACAGGTCCAGTGATTTGGACAAACTTCCAAATGCACCTGTGAATTTCTTGGGATTTTATTCCCGAAGATATCCTTTTTAAATGCCGTCATACGGTGATTGTACGTTTACTGACAGAGTCGCATTGGTGACCGCCCAGAGCTGCTATGCTGACTGCTTGCGTTTGATTGTGTTACACATTTTCCAAAAGTGGTGTTTCATTTTATTTTCATTTTTCCATCGCGGATGTTTTTGCTAAATTTTCATCGGCGATTTTCCTTAATTTAATTTGATTTTGCCACTTAAAAAAATTGAAGTTTATTTTACTCCGACGTTTTTCCTGTTTGTGTGTACTCCGACTGCCGTCCCGCCATCTTACTCAGTCTTCCTGCCTATGCTCAGTTCTCCATCCCGTCAAGGATCCTCTCCTCACTTTCCATCTCATTCAGTCACCCCTGGAGGAGGATCAGTCATTCGTTCTTGGACGGTGGATGGAATGCCCGCCATTGCCCAGTCGAGAGCGTGAGAACTCATTTTTATTTAGTTTTCCATTCCTGTTTTTTGCTGTTCTTTTCGTTTCTTTTTGTGTTGGGTTCCCCAATAGCCGTTTGCGGGGGTGACGGAATATAGCAGTACAGTACGTAAAGTGACGGCTTTACTCGTACTTTCTATTATTCGCTGTACTTTCTCGATCTTTCTCTTTTGTGTTCGGATTTACTTTTGGTTGTTTCTACACGGATGCGCCGTGTCTATACAAGTCCCTGAGTGGCAGTACTTTAATCACGAGTTCTCTCACTACGGGTTTTGGCAGTTTCGGAGTTTCTAATTAAATTATCGTCGGAGATGCAGTTCTCGCTTCGCGTAGATTCGTAGACTTAGCTATGCCACATTGAGATTATCAGCTCATACTCTGTCGTTGAGTAGGTCGGTAGGATAGATTATTACGGTAATTATTCCTATCGTACTGATCTCTCCGTCACATCTCTGGTAAAATTGGAGGCTTATTTCATTTGCATACATTTAAGACCAGCAAACAAAAGTCTGGAATTTCCGGCCACGTGAGCTAACGTACATAAATGACAGCTGGGTTGTTGATAGTCCATCGCAGCAGTCAGCCGTGCCGGTGCCCTGTCTGCACGTGGGCGTCTGCTACCTGGCCTATCTGCACAGTAATCCAATTTTCTACAGACCGTGGCAAGTGTGGAAAGGTCATCCTGACGGCCGACAACCCGTGCGGCGTGCGAATATGTATCCCATCAGCAGCAGGGAAAAGCCGAACGCCATCCAAGGTAACACTGTC